TGGAGGTTCCACTTTCCAGAAGCGCCTACACCAGGGGTTCCCAACAGCCGGTCCGCGGGGCATTTGGTACCGGGCCGCACAGAAAGAACTTACATTAATTCCGTGGTATTTACTTTGGAATACGAAAGATATTTTATTTTGAAAAATTACCCGATTCTCCGTTACATCCGTCTGTGTCACTCTTGACGCACGTCAAACCACGCTTCTCCGTCACGTGACTTATTACGCTAAAAACAAAACGCCGGAACTTGCTAAATTAGTAAAATAAACTGCTGGAGATCGCAAATGACGGCGGCCTTAAAAGTAAGATAAGATAAGATATCCTTTATTTGTCCCACACTGGTGCGTTCGAGACAACAACTCTGCCGGTGTTCTGGATTCAAGTTATGGCTGAATACTCTGAGATCGCCACAATAGCACTGTTGCTATTTCCGACATGCTACCTGTGTGAGGCGGGGGTTTTGTGCAGCAACGGCGACTAAAACAAAATTACGAAGTAGACTCAACATAAAGCACACACTCCAGTTGTCATTGTCTCCTATTACCCCGAGATGGGACCGCCCGGTTGCAGAAAATCAAGCTCGGGGCTCGCACTGATTCAGCATTGTGGTGAGTTGACATTTTCATGCACTTTGAATTTGCGTTGTATCGTATTTTGAAGGCATTAAACATTACCATAGCGATCAGAGTGTTGCGGCCAGATTAGACGCTCCTTGTGTTTATTATTATCTCTCGAAAACACCACAGTGTTCATGCAGCTCTTACCATATAAATTTGTAGTATTTATCCACCACACCTTAAATGCCGGTCCGTGAAAATATTGTCTGACATAAACCGGTCCGTGGGGCAAAAAATGTTGGGGACCCCTGGTCTATACGGTTTCACTTGCTGTTTATCATAGAGCAGCGGTGGCCAAGTCAGGTCCTCGAGAGCCAAATTCTTTCAGTTCTAGCACTCTCCCGCCCCCAACACACCTGATTCAAATGATCAGGATTGTTATCAGGCCTCCGCAAAACCTGTTAATGATCTGATCATTTGAATCAGGTGTGTTGGAGAAGGGAGACATCAAAAACAAACTGAACAGCGGCTCTCCAGGGCATCCCTGTCGTAGAATATTTGGTGTTAAAACGATACCTCCAATTTGACACATGCGTGTCATAATCCCAGTAATCTTTGTTCTTCCATGTGTTGACATCGGTGTACACCCGAGCCTTGCTGCTGGCCGGTGATGATGATCCAGGCATGGCAAGATTTAAGGCGCGGTGGTTAAGATGTTCCGCTGAATTTTGGTTGACCCAGTACTGGAAGGCAGCGCACTGATTCTCCAAAACAAGTGGCTTTAAAGCCTCTTTGTTGGCTTTACCAATGCTTTTGGCTGATTTCGAAGTGCCGGGCTGACCTATCACAGCTGATGTGCAGAAGGAGAGAGCTACGATGATGGAATGCGCGGTGCCCCTGAGTAGGATGTTGGGCAGGATGAGATGAAGAGCCGCCAGCTGCAAAGACACAAGAGAAAATGGACACTATAATGGGAGCTAAAAGACATCCATCCATCAAATGTTAGACTTGGTTTAAAGTTATCAGGTTACGCTAAAACAAACTTAGAGATGACACAACACAAAAAAAGGAATAGCTTTAATGTGCTCACAGTGATCATATTTTTCATTTTATGTGACTGTATGGGGAAAAAAATCTTATCTTGCTAACGGGACATGGCGTTAAAAAAACTAAAATAATTGAAATCTGTTATAGCACGAACAAAAGTGAGGCATTTTTTCACAACAAAATTAAACTAAGCTAAAAGGTGACTTTATAATGGCTCTTGGTTGTTCACAAATGTTTCTTTATTATTATCATTACTAGTTTTATTTTTTTACGATCAACAGGCATGGACAAATTGACTTTGCTCAGAAAGGTTTGGCGATACTCTGAGCGGGTTAATTTGTCATTTACGCCTTCAGGCTCTCTCAGCAAAGACTTGGTGACTAATGGCAAAATCAGCAACAGAGGTAAATTAGCCTGCTAACCTCGTCGATGAAATGTCGCTTCCGGCCAACATCGACGTGAGGTTGTGAACGACAGAACTTTTCTCTCAACTCGGCGATGTTTTACCACCAGAGTGGATCGCAACTAAGTATCCGTGTTATACTCCTCAGCACTGTCGAATTAATTTAACTGGCTGCGACATAACTTCGTGGGGATGGACTTCCTTTTTCTCGTAACCGGAAGCAAACCTTTAAACCTGTTGAGCGTATTGTCGCCTCTTGAATTTTTTTAAACTTCGAATAACAAAAAAGCGCCACATTGTCTATGGATGAACACCTCATCATTTTGTTTATTTATATTAAATACGTGTGGGGGTTGACATATGAAGCTTACGCAACTAAATGTTTGCGTGCAGATAATACATTCAACATACTGTATGTGTAATACTGAACTGTACTGGAGTTAAATTGTAAAGCTTTGTATATCTGTGTATATAAAATACGTCTACACTGAAACGTGCATTAATAACTTCCAAATCTTTGGATGTTGGGTAAGGTCACAAAGCCAGCACCCGAATGCAAGAACAGTGTCGCCCCCTACGGGCAGATATTGACAACAGTCATTACCAACCACATTCCTGGGCAGCATCGTGTCCTTGGTTTTCTGCTCCGACCTTCCTCCTGTGTGGACTTTGCATGTTATATCAGTGCATTTGTGACCACTCTGAATTCCCTACATAATCCAAAAACACGCACGTTGGTTGAAAACTGTATATTGTCCACAGGTGTAATTGAGAATGGATCATTGTTTCTCCGTGAATTGTGACCAATGATCTCCAAATTCTATGTGATGGGTAAAGGCAACAGCGAGAACCTCGGTGATTGCTCACATTGGTTGCTGTGTCACCCCACGTTGTTGAAAGGTATGATTCAGTCACACATGGCTGTCCCAATTGAGGTGCTTTAATACAGTGTATTCAAACATGTAAAAGTCACAGTGGCGGGCCGTGCATTTCAACCTTAGGCCTTCAGTGACGTCACATACATACACAATATAGGCTCGTCAAGCAGCACTTAATTTCAGGAGCATTTAAAACCATCAAGTATGTATTCCCAATTAAAAGCAGGAAACTAAATTTACAGATATTGTCAAAAATAAAAAGATGATTTAAAAATACGAAATAAAATGCCACCCAAATTACGCTGTGTGATCTTAAACAAGTCTGTCCAATAAATTGCGCAATGTCGCAGTTTCATATAAGACACCAACCAAACAATAACAAAACAAACTATTCTTTGAAAATAAACAGATCATTTGCATTTTGAAAATCGTCGATACAACAGCAAATAACTGACATAACTGACTAACTAATAACTGACGAACAGCTGAGATTGAACGAACTTTCGTGCACGAAGGTGAC